CAGGCTGGTGCAGTGGGCCCAGAGCGGGGTGGCAAGAAAGTAGGGCTGGGCTACCAGGAGCTCGCTCCTCTCCCTGCTTGGGCAGTGCAGCCCAGACCCCAGGGTGGGGTGGGGTGGGCTGGGGCCAGGACTGTGCCAAGCTCTTCCTGGTGAGGCGGGGCTGCACTGGGAAGGGGCTATAGTGAATTTGTGGCTGCAGCCCTCCCTGCATAACCCCTTTCCAGTGCAGCCCTACTCTGCCAGGAAGAGCTTGGCACAGCCCCAGCCCCAACTCATGCCGTGCAGATCCCCCTGCCCTCCTGGACGAGCGGCAGGAGCAGTGGCAGAAGATGCCAGACGAGCAGGCAAGTGCCGGATGAGTTGCCAGACCAGTGGCTCCTGGCTGAGTGGCACACAGTGGTGGGAGCTGCCCCCCGCCTCCCCACACCCCCAGATGAGCTGCTCGTCCATGCCGCACCTGCCATGCCCTGGCTGGGCAATGCTTGCCCTGGGCCCAGCCCCACATCTTCCTTCTTCACAGGGGCCTTGATCTGCCCCTCCCGCCCCCTCCTGCCCTTCTACCACACCAGACTTACCAGGTGGATCCAGCTCTTCACTCTGCCAGGCTGGGTATCAGAAATTAGATTGGTATCTGCCGATATGCCCCCTTAAAAATCAGGTTTTGGTATTGGCTGCAAAAATCTCTATTGGTGCATTCCTAGTCTCAGTCAATCACAGCTTCTTCCCTTCCCCATTTTCACTGGACTCTGTGTCCTTGTCTTGATCTATACTTTTAGTCTGCAGATTGTTCCTTTACCTAATATATTCCTTCTCCCTCTTTCCCACCTACCAGAGAAACTGGTTTCCTCCTTCACTCTGTGTAGATTCCCTAAGGTATTTATTGATAGTACGGGGGGAAAAGAGGGGCAGGTTTCCTATTCTTAACTTGTTCTGCCCTACCCTGAGGCAGGAAGAGTCCAGCTTAGTCTAGCAGACCTGGGCTAAAGGAGATATTCACAGTTACTGCAAGGATAATGTAATTTCAGAGATTCAAACATGCTTTTTGAAGATGGAATCTTAGGATATTTTAGGTGCTAAAAATCTAATTCTCTGTACTATTCAAATTTGGGTTTTTTCCCTTCAAATAGTTCTCTATCTTCTTGGAAACAGCAGAAGTTCCCTTGCCCTGAAAGACCTCCCTGTTAATTTACAGATCGCTGCTGTGAAACAGGAGGATCCTATAATTGTACAAATAAAAGTTTTCAATTTTTTTAACATGGACAAAACATTTTTTTCTTAGCATAGTTTTTGGAAATGGTACCACTGGTTAAGTAGGGGAAATGTGTAATGGGAGCATATATCAGGGGAATATCAGGTATCAGTCTTACCTGGCTATATAAATTATGTCTACAGACTTACAAAGTCTTAAATCAGAGGCAAGTCTAGCTTTAAATCAGAGGCATGTCTATAATGCCATTTGGGTTGGTCTAATAAAAGATATCAAATTCACCCAAGGAACCTTGTCTGCCTATGTCTATAATGCTAGCTTTGGTTCAATATTTCTGCATTGCGTTAAGATGAGGTATTTTACTATAGTTTATGGATTTCTATAAATAAAAATCTGTAGCATATTTTTGTTTGCTTACTGGAGGTTTTAGTTGCCAACAGGCCTGTCATATTTTTGGATATCATTTCTGTTTTTCAAAAAGGATATCTGATTCAGATCAGTGAGATGACTTGTTTAGGCAAAATAATTGTTAAAACTGGTTTTAGAATTTCTGCATTGTTTCCTAATCTCATGCTTAAACCACTGAACTATGACTGCCTGAATTAAAATTAGTACAAATGCAAATCAGAATAACTTGAATCAAACTATTCACAAGTTAGTCTTTGTATGATGATATAAATGTATTCAATACAGAGCAGGTTGTTTTGCAGCTAAACATAGATTTGTTTTAACATGCTGCTGAGAAATAGTGTAGTAAGGATCACATTTGGTGAAAGGTAAACATTAAATAGCTGTAATCAGATTAAAGATTCTTTTTTTTCGGGGGAGGCACTTTTTCCACCGGTCTCACCCAAGCATACAACATAAACCTAATTCATAATATGCATGACTTTTTACACATGTTCTGAATTTTTATTCCATTTTTATTGCTAATCTGTTAGATCTGTGCCAACCAGCTTGGTGTCAGTGCATGATCAGTGACAGACAACTGCTGAGCTGACAAACTGCTCTTCCATGGTCTTTGTTTAGTGTTAATGTGTGACTGTCTTAAACTATGCTTAGTTTGTAGCATCATAGAAGGGCTTCTAAGATTTCTAAAAAATTACAAAGTCTAATTCTGTAATACACGTGTACTTATTCATAAGTTGTAATAACATTCTAAGATAGTAATATATACTGTTAGTTTAGGTGCAGACATGGTCATGCTGTACTCTACCTGTTGCTAGGAAACTAAGCTTCTGACAAATTTGGCATCTGTTGTGAGCATAGTTAATCAGCTTATTGTTTCTGAAATGTGGAGAAATTAAATGAATTGAGCATCTCACTGCTGGATGACTGAATGGACTTTCATGCTTAAAAGAAAGTGAATACATTTATTTTGCTTTAAGAGTGTGCAATGAATTTCTCCTGTGTTCGTCCTTTTTAATGGCAAGATATTTTTAGCAGTTATCTACTGTTTTAATCTGAGTTTGGTTTAGGTTTTAGTTCTTGGTTATATTCTAGTTCAAGTGCATACATTAAATGAACTGTCTTTTCCTTGTTAAAAATCTAGGGGGAAAGCCTTGTTTATTCCTCCTGTGTGAAAATAATTAACTTGCCATTATTGCTATTTGTGGCATGGCTGCCATCACAAAATTGCCAACTAAATATTCACCACCTCTAATGTGCCACCTCTAAGTGTTCAGTGAGTAAAGCATTTACTCAGTCTTCATGAGTGTTCTCTTTGAATCTATGCTTTAGAACTATGCTTTACTACTACTGTGTTTTAGGGGTATGTTTGAGAAGGGTTTTAGCTCTGGTCTAAATACAGTGTTAGACCAGTTGCATTTTTGCAAAGATATATAGAAACTCTTTATGTTGGCTTCAGCCTGGCTTAGATTGGATGCAGTCTGGTGGAAAGTAAACTAAACTTAAATTTTAGTATTTTGAAGACCTTTACACAGACAATAGAAAAATCATTAATATAGAATGGTAAAGAGCCAAAGAGGGAACAGCTGGAACTTTTTGCAGACAGGAAGATATAGTATTTGTTCTGTGTGTCATATTCAGGAGATATTGAAGGTTTTTGAGACTGGGAAAGGGGAGAATCTCTTCTTTTCATAATGCCTTTAATAGGTTTAGGGCAGTAGTTGGCAAGCTTTTCAGGGCCAGAGTAACCCTGTTCAGGTCAGAGGTGGGTGGGTGTATGCTGGGGCCCATCAATCACCACTGCTTCTCCCTGTAGTGGCACTGGGAGAGGGCCGAC